CAATGTTGTGGCTATGTTTATATCAGACAAAGTAGATTTCTAGAGAGTAACTGACATCAGAGATGATTGAGAGATATTTCACAACAATAAAAGAGTTAATTCTTCAAGAAGTTATAAAAGGGTATGCTCCTAATAATATAGATTCAAAACACATGAAGCAAAAAAAAAAAATTTCTTTTGCTAGAAATCAAAAGAGAAATAGACAAAATCATATTTCCCAAAATTGATAAAATTGGACAAAAAAAATCAATAAGAATTAGAAGATTTGAGCAACACTATGAAACAACTTAACCTAACTGATATTTATAGAACTCTGCAACAACTGCAGAATACATATTCTCTCAAGTGAACACGTGACACCATATGCTGCCCCTAAAGCAATTTTCAATATATTTCAAAGGACTGAAACCATACTGTGTGTGTTTTCTGACCATAGTGGAATTAAATTAGAAACCAACAACAAAAAGATAACTAGAAAATCTTTAAATATTTGAAAAGTAAATGCCATTCTAAGAAGTCTGGGCTTTATCCCCTAGTACCAGTGGAGCTATTCAAGGATTTTATGCAAGGGAATGATACATTCAGATGTGAGCTTTTAAAAAATAATTTTCACTGAAAATAAAAAATGTAGTAGAAGAAGAATGACTAAACACACTCACATACAAAAAGAGGAATAAGCCATAACCCATATGAGAAACTAGGAGAAACTGATGTAGGGCAGCTGAAAGGAAAGAGGATTGACTCAAGATATTTTCAAATGTAGAATCAAGACTTGGTGACCAATTAATTACATGTGATCTGCAAAGCTAGATAATCTCAACCTTAACTAACTTTGATGACTGGATAAATAGGAATGCCATGTACGGAGATAGGAAAACCAGAGAGAAGCAGTTTTTGCTGGGTATAGGAACTAAAAAAGAGAAGTGTGCAATACAGGCTCTACTTTTAATGCAAGAACATCGATTCCAACTGCTGCAGCTTCTTACTGTTTGGTTCAGGGATTTAACCCAACTCCCAGCTCACTAAATTATCTTTAAGGTCCTTCTTCTCTGCCACTGTGGGTTCTGCACCCTGATATCTGCTTTTCCATTTCAGCACTTGCTCTTCCTTAGTACTATCTACTCAGGTTTTCAACTAGAATACCAACTGGGTATTCCATTCACACTTGGATCTGCTTTTCGGCTCATTCTTCAGATTTGGTAAACAGATCTTTGAACTGTTTTTGGCTTGACCCATGTGCCCTTAGGACTCCTCATATCTGCCCACTGACTCAGAGACACTGCAAATGTAGATGAACACAGCCTTATCTCACCTCTACCCTGGATTCCTGCTCAGTTTACTGAACAGTTCCATCCAGCTTCTGCCTATAAGGGAACAAGTTTGCACAATATGTTCAATCACCGACACTGAATTTGAGGTCCTTGTGAGCATCCAGGTGGAGATACACAGAAGGCAGTTGGCAATAATGAGGCTGGGGTTCAGGAAAGAGATCCACTGGGAGACACAGATTTATCATCAGCAGCATAGGTTGTAATTAAGGCCACATGAGAGGATAAGCTTGATCAAGGAGACTATAAAGCAGAAGTCCTTAATCTGATGGGCTTCAGGGGCACCTATGAATCCACTGAAAGTGTGGGTAAAATTTTGTGTATGTATGTATCTGTATTTCTAAGGTAGGGATCCATACGTTTCATCAGATTCTCAAATTGGTCTGCAAATCTAAAAAGATTAAAAACCTATGGGGGAGGAAGAAGGCTAAAGACGTAACCTAAAGGGCATTATTTACTGAAATGTGCAACGATTTGGGGATTAGAGACTATGGTGGGAAAGGGTAAGGAATATGTTAGTTATATTTACTGAAATGTGCAACGATTTTGGGATTAGAGACTATGGTGGGAAAGGGTAAGGAATATGCTGGTGTTTCATCTCCAATTTACCATCTGAGTCACAGCAAACATGAAGCACATGATTTTCTATTCAAAATTGGGCAATATGTCCCCAAAACATGCTGACTCAAACACCAGTACTTTTAGACTACCCAGAATTGTATAAAAACCAGCACTTTTAGGCCTGGAGCTTTGGATTCTATATTCCCAGTCAAAACGTGAATTTTTTCTTACTCCCACCCCATAAACAATGGGAACAATCTCCCCAGCCATCTTTTTCTCTGGAGCCCATCTCATGTCACAGCTGACAATCGAAGATCACTTTTTAAGCATTACTTTATGGACATTCATGATCATCAATGCTGGATATATTAGCATTTGAGTTTTTACAGGCAAAAAGGCTTTGAAAATACATAGGATTTGGATTGCAAAAAGGTCTATGAAACGCAACCCCACAAAACAAGAATGTCACCTTGTATGTATTATCACAAAGTGCTCAAAAATGCAATTATAGTTCACGCTTTACCTTTTTTTCCTCAAAATTATTTGTCACTTTAGAGACTGAGATGGGGAGGGGAAAAAGTTTTTTTCCCAGTGTGCATTTTGAAACCCTTTCAAAAGCCACAAACGTGTTATGAAACAAGTTCTCTAGTCACATGGATTCAAACCACAGCATTCTTCCCAATCTACCGCTCAAGCAAGCCAAGAATAATCTAGCCAGCCAACTTGCATGTAAGAAAACTATAATGTCTACTGCCTGGGAAATCTCTAAACATCATTTGTACATGTACCTTGGCTTATAAAAACCATTTCAATACTGTACAAAGGAGAAAGCTATGAATTACTAATTACCAAGAGATTATCAAGGACTACTGATGGGCACTTTATCTTTAGCAGAATGTAGTTCACAAAATTTTAACACATAAAAAACTTTTTTAAAACCTAAGAGATGGTTCATATATTCTTTTGAACATATACATATAGGTAATAACTGGAAAATGTTCAATTACATTAATCAATGAAACCTACTAAAGTTATCAAAAATCTAAAATAACCTGTATTATGCTGGTAGTTCAAAAAATTAAAAAAACATTTTTTATCAACATATATCAAGCACCTTAAAAAATTTCAGATACTTTGAGACCTAGTTTAATGCTACTGTTATTAGTCTAATCTCTAAAAAAAAGTCTAAAATGTCATATGTGCAAAGATGTTCACTGTAGCACAATCTGTCAAAGAGAAAACTGTAAACGACAAAAGAAAAATGGTAAAATGAATTACAGAACCTATACCAGGGAAACACACTTTTTGTTTGTTCTTTCATTCATGCACTTACTGCTGTTTCAGAAAGGCCCATTTGGTGATATATTATATAACCATGAAAAATTATGTTTAAAAAGCATGTGCACAATGTGAAAATGCTCACGAATATCAAGAGGAAAGGACTGGATACAAAATTGTGTGTGTACAAAGGTAAGATTGTAAGACGTGTAATCTTACCTTTGTTTAACAACATGCAGAGAAGGAAGAGAAATCCATCAAAATTTTATTTTGATACAGGTGAATTTTATTCTCATCTTTTTAATTTTATAAGTTTTATATACTGAGCTTATATTTTTATAATAAAATGTTTATACATATGAAAAGTATAAAAAGGACAAAGATTATTTAAAAAATAAAAAATCTGCCTTCATACATGTTTTACCACAAGATAGCTCTTCCTGTATAGCCACTAATGAATAGAAAAAGAAAAATGACAGTAATACCTAAGAGAAAAAAAATCCACATGGAAATTAACTTCATGAAATATAAATTTGTTTGTCAATTAAAGGTACCAAAAGAAAGACAGAATAAAAAGATGATATATTATAAGGTTGCAGGAAGGAGAGGACACTGACGTAAACAGGAGAATACCAGAGAAAGGCAAGAATTTTAATCATGAAACTCAACAGCCTATCAGTGAACTTATGCTAACATGGCTGTCTTGTTTAAACTGTCATTTCAAAAAAGAATACATCTAGAGACAGAAAGAAGAATTGTGGTTGCCAGGGGCTCGAGGGATGGGTAATGGGTAATGAGAATGTAGTTTCAGTTTCAAAAGATGAAAAAAGTTCTGGAGATGGATGGTGGGGACGGTTACACAATAATGTGAATGTACTTAATGCCACTGAACTGTACACTTATAATTGTTAAGAGAGTAAATTTTGTTATGTATATTTTACCACAATTAAAAAAAGAATACAGGGGCTGGCCTAGTGGCATAATGGTTAAGTTTGCGCACTCTGCTTCCGTGGCCCAGGTTTCGCAGCTTTGGATCCCAGGCATGGACCTACGCATCGCTTATCAAGCCATGCTGTGGCAGGCATCCCACATATAAAGTAGAGGAAGATGGGTATGGATGTCAGCCCAGGGCCAATCTTCCTCAGCAAAAAGAGGAGGATTGGCAACAGATGTTAGCTCAGGGCTAAGCTTCCTCACCAAAAAAAAAAAAAAAAAAAAGAATACATTAAGGTCTGATTTGAAGTAGATTCAACTGGTAAGTTATATATTCAGAATAGCTCTTTGTGTTTGCAGCTTTTCTGAAACAGTATTTTATAAAGATGTGAGCAGAACTTAAAAGAAAAAGCTGTATTAATAGCACCTTTCTCTTAAGCAGAGGGTAGCATATTGCACCTGTTTACTAATTCTTCTAATGTACCCAATGTTTAGGTTCAAGTATCAAGAAAGTATGCCTCATCCAAAGAAAGGTTTAAAAGTAAAGTAGCCATTAGATTCAAAGAAAAAAGAAACGAGATGTAAGTGAGGTCACTAATAATCTTGGTGTTCACGCAAATTTGTGGTAATCAATTACGAGAATAAATCCCCCCAAAAGTAAACACCATTCGTGGAAATTGGGCAAAACGAAGAACTGTCCCCAGAGTTCCTGGGAAGAGCCACAGTTATCCTTAAAATGCAGTGGAAGATTTCTGATGATGAAGCATTCTACAAATAGAATTCTTCTATTTTAAAATAATTTTCTGATAAGAAAAAAGCAAGAAACAAAATAGGAAAAAACTTTTCAGGACCCAAATTCCACACCAAGTTTTCTCAATTCCCTTTAAAAATCTTACTTACCCTTCTAGTGTTTTCAAGGATTTTGGGATCAGGTTTCCCATAGTTAGGTGGATTGGCGTACGGGTCATATCCAAGCTTGGCAAGCATGGGTGCGATCACTGCCATGTCTTGTAAAACATCTGGAGGTATCTTCCCCACCCATTTTGACAGCGCTCCCACATTGACTGGCTGGATGACTTGGTCTGTAGATCTCTCCACTCTGAAAACAATATAATGTAAATGAATATTTATGTAGAATACAAAAAAATAGTGTTAAAAGACAGGTGGAAATTATTTTTGATAACTTTAAAAATTGTAAGTGTCTGGATTATAAAGCTATTGAGAAAGAGGGCACTAATCAGGCTTAACACTATTTACCAGACTTTTTTTAATTTTCTAAATTTGACAATGATTATTGGCAACCTCAGATTCCTAGAAATAGGAAAAAGGGTCAGCTAAAAACATCTGCACAAAATGTGTTGACGCTTTAATTACAACATTCAGAAAAAAATAACAAAGATAAGAATGTTTAGCAAAAGTCAACTTACTCAAAATGCATGATAAATAAATAAATAAATAAGATGGATTGATGAATGACTACAGAGACAGATGTACTGATACGTGATAAAGCAAATACAGCAAAATGTTAATTGTAGCTGGTGAGTATGATTCTTTCAATTCTTTGTATGTTTGAAATTTTTCATAATAAAATTTAGGGGAGAAATAGCCAACCATAATCCACTAAGAATGCAAAATATTCATTTGTTCTATTTTTCTGTTGACCTCCTGAAGAACATTATTTTCTAAGAAAGAAAAAGAAGTGCCGTTTATGATTTTCAATATTACAGAATAAATGTGTTCTACCTCTTGACATGGAAATTTACTTTAAGCTTGTAATGATTACATTCACTATATTTGACTAAGTCATAATCTTAGGATAAAATATAACATAAAATGACATCTAGGTTTAAATTGGATCTGAATTAGCATATTTTGGTCAAACGACTATAAAACAAAAGTGTCAGGAGAGTTTTACATCATAATACATAAGAAGTCATTCAAACATAGTATTCTAAAGATGATAAAAACCCTTTATCTTTAAGTAAATGACCTCTCCCAGCAGATAATCTTTATCTGATGAAGAATCCCTCAAAGGGCATCCACTCCTAAAACAACAGTGAAGAGAAAATGAAATGATTCTTTCCTGGGATGCTGTGAGGCCACAACTTGAGGTTTCCTTCCTGCCTCAATGGCCACATTCTTTTTCCTCTCTTAAAAACTTCTCCAGGATTCCACTTAGCCCACTGCTCTCTTCATTCTATACATTTTCCCTACATGGCTTCATCTTTAATGGTCTTTGCTTAACATTATTTACCTGTGTAAAGAACATCCTGGTTTGTCCAGGACAGGTCCAGTTTATACCTATTGCCCCAGCTTAATTACTAATAGCACGTCCCACACACTCTCATAAATGCTCAAGGTTGTATGATAAAGTATACGATCACCCTACCCATATACCCTACACATACCTCAAAACTAAGATGTTCCTTTACACTTATGAATGCTCCAACACAGGAGCACCAAAGTATATAAAGCGACTATTAAGTGACATAAAGGGAGAAATTGACAGCAACACAATAGTAGTAGGGGATCTCAATACCCCACTTACATCATTGGATAGATCATCCAGACAGAAAGTCAACAAGGAAACAGTGGCCTTAAATGAAATACTAGACGAGACAGACTTAATAGATATATACAGAACATTCCATCCCAAAACAGCAGAATACACATTCTTCTCAAGTGCACATGGAACATTCTTAAAGATAGACCACGTGGTGGGAAACACGGCAAGCCTCAACAAATTTAAGAAGATGGAAATCATATCAAGCATCTTTTCTGGACATAATGCTATGAAGTTAGAAATCAACTACAAGAAAAAGGCTGAGAAAGTCACAAATATGTGGAGACTAAACAACATGCTACTAAACAACCATTGGATCAATGAAGAAATTAAAGGAGAAATCAAAAAATACTTGGAGACAAATGCAAACGAAAATACAACATACCAACTCATGGGATGCATAAAAGCAGTGCTAATGCAGAAATTTTTAGCAATACAGGCCCACCTCAACAAAGAAGAAAAATCTAAAATAAGTAATCTTAAACTACATCTAACAGAACTAGAAAAAGAAGAACAAACAAAGCACAAAGTCAGCAGAAGGAGGAAAATTTAAAAAGTTAGAGCAGAAATAAATGAATAAATGAAATAGAGACTAAAAAAATAGAAAGAATCAATGAAACTAAGAGCTGGTTCTTTGAGAAGATAAACAAAATTGACAAACTCTTAGCCAGACTCACTAAGAAAAAAAGAGAGAAGGCTCAAATAAATAATATCAGAAAGAATGAGGAGACATTACAACAGATACCACAGAAATACAAAGGATTATAAGAGAATACTATGAAAAACTATGTGCCAACAAATTGGATAACCTAGAAGAAACAGATAAATTCTTAGGTTCATACAACCTCCCAAAACTGAATCAAGAAGAAACAGAGAATCTGAATAGACCAATAGCAAGTAAACAGATTGAAACAGTAATCAAAAACCTCCCCAAAACAAAAGCAGGACCATATGGCTTCTCTGGAGAATTCTACCAAACTTTCAAAGAAGATTTAAAACGTATCCTTCTCAAACTGTTCCAAAAAATTGAAGAAGACAGAATGCTTCCTAACTCATTCTATGAGGCAAACATAACCCTGATACCAAAACCAGACAAGGACAACACAAAGAAGGAAAATTAAAGGCTACTCTTGCTGATGAAGATAGATTCAAAACTCCTCAACAAAATATTGGCAAATTGAATACAGCAATACATTAAAAGGATCATACACCATGATCAAGTTGAATATATACCAGGGACACAGGGGTGGTTCAACATTCACAAATCAATCAATGTGATACACCCCATTAACAAAATGAGGAATAAAAATCACATGATCATCTCAATAGATGCAGAGAAAGCATCTGACAAGATCCAACATCCATTTATGATAAAAAAAACTTTCAATAAAATGGATATAGAAGGAAAGTACATCAATATAATAAAGGCCATATATGACAAACCCACAGCCAACATCACACTTAATGGTGAAAACCTAAAAGCCATCCCTCTGAGAACAGGAACAAGACAAGGGTGCCCACTCTCACCACTCCTATTCAACACAGTACTGAAAGTTTTGGCCAGAGCAATCATGCAGGAAAAAGAAATAAAAAGTATCAAAACTGGAAAGGAAGAAGTGAAACTCTTACTGTTTGCAGAAGACATGATTCTATATATAGAAAACCCTAAAGAATCCACCAGAAATATTAGCTATTAGAAATAATGAACAACTACAGCAAAGTTGCAGGGTACAAAATCAACTTACAAAGATCAGTTGCATTTCTATACACTTAGAATGAACTAACAGAAAGAGAACTCAAGAATACAATCCCATTTACAGTCTCAACAAAGAGAATCTAGGAATAAACTTAACCAAGGAAGTGAAAGACCCATACAGTGAAAACTACAAGACATTTTTGAAAGAAATCAAAGATGACATAAAGAAATGGAAAAATCTTCCATGCTCATGGATTGGAAGAATAAACATAGTCAAAATGTCCATATTACTTAAACAATCTACAGATTCAATGCAATCCCAATCAGAATCCCAATGACAATCTTCACAGAAATAGAACAAAGATTCCTAAAATTTATATGGAACAATGAAAGACCCCAAATAGCCAAAGCAATCCTGAGAAAAAAGAACACAGCTGGAGGCATCACAATCCCTGACTTCAAAATATACTACAAAGCTATGGTAATCAAAACAGCATGGTACTGGCACAAAAACAGACGCACAGATCAACGGAACAAAATTGAAAGCCCAGAAATAAAACTACACCTCTACAGACAGCTTATCTTTGGTGAAGGAGACAAGAACATAAAATGGAGACAAGAAAGTCTCTTCAATAAACAGTGCTGGGAAAACTGCACAGCCACATGCAAAAGCATGAAAGTAGACCATTATCTTATGCCATATACAAAAATTAACTCAAAATGGATTAAAGATTTGAATGTAAGACCTGAAATCATAAAACTCCTAGAAGAAAATACAGGTAGTACACTCTTTGACATCAGTCTCAGCAGCATCTTTTCGAATACCATGTCTACTCAGGCAAGGGAAACAAAAGAAAAAATAAACAAATGGGACTACATTAGACTAAATAGCTTCCGCACAGCAAAGGCAAGCATCAACAAAATGAAGACAATCCACCAACTGGGAGAAAATACTTGCAAATCATATATCTGACAAGGGGTTAATCTCCAAAATATATAAAGAACTCATACAACTCAACAACAAAAAACCAAACAACCTGATCAAAAAATGGGCAAAGGATATGAACAGACATTTTTCCAAAGAAGATATACAGATGGCCAACAGGCACATGAAAAGATGTTCAACATCACTAATTATTACAGAAATGTGAATCAAAACTACAATGAGATATCACCTTACACAGGTGAGAATGGCTGTAATTATCGAGATAAAAAATAACAAATGTTGGAAAGGATGTGGAGAAAAGGGAACCCTCATACACTTCTGGTGAGAATGCAAACTGGTGCAGCCACTATGGAAAACAGTATGGAGATTTCCCAAAAAATGAAATACCATATGATCCGCTATCCCACTACTGGGTATTTATCCAAAGAACATGAAATCAACAATTCAAAGAGATTTATGCACCCCTACGTTCACTGCAGCATTATTCACAATAGCCAAGACACGGAAGCAACCCAAATGCCCATCAACTAATGAAGGGATAAAGAGGATGTGGTATATATATACAATGGAATACTACGCAGCTATAAAAAAAGGACAAAAACGTGCCATTTGCAACCACATGGATGGACCTTGAGGGTATTATGTTAAGCGAAATAATTCAAACAGAGAAAGACAAACACCGTATGATTTCACTCATATGTGGAACATAAACACATAGATAAAGAGAACAGATTAGTGGTTACCAGAAGGGAAGGGGCTGGGGTGGGGGTTGAAATGGGTAAAGGGGCATACATGCATGGTGATGGATAAAAATTAGACTATTGGTGGTGAGCACAATGCAGCCTATACAGAAACAGATATACAATATTATACACCTGAAATTACACAATGTCA